ATGTGTCATGATGATGAACTCACTGGCAATGTGCAAGCCAGGGAGGAAGGACCTTCTATTCCCAGCTCTATTCACCCCAAGTATCATCTGGACAAACAAATACCTCAGGCAAGATGAAGAAATATTTTTTCCTCAATTATTCAAGGTTAAAGGAAACCCTGTCTCAAAATTTAAAAAATAATTTTTTAAGGGGCTAGGTTTGTAGCTCAGTGTTTGAGAGCTTTGGGTTCAGTCCCCATTACTGAAAAAAAATTAAAAATGATCAATAATGAAGGTTAGGAACCAATGTGATGCACACCTGTAATCCCAGCACTTTGGAAGGCTAGGGCAGAAAGATCAAAAGTTCAAGTCCCAGCCTGGGTAACTTGGTAACTTGGTGAGACCTGGTCTCAAAAGTAAAAAACATAAAAGGACTTAGAAATATAGCTCAGTGCAAAAACCCTACGTTCAATCCCCAGTACCCTGCAGCCCCTAAGAATTAAGGTTAGAGAGAAAGGAAAGTTCAGAATTATATACCTTTTCATAGTTCTAATATGCTATTAAGAACTACTGTCCATTTTGCAAATGAGAAGGGCACCAAAAGAAGCAGGGGGAGGGCAAGGGGAACATAAAAAGAATTAAGATATGTCATGTACATGTACCAGCTCTCCATGTTGAATATAATCATTACGTACTACAAACACATAGTAATAAAATTTTTTTAAAAAAAAGAATTACTGCCCAAATCTAGCTTTGTTCAAGAAAAGGGATAGGCTTTTAAATTCCACGTGTTTATGCATAAACTTGGGAAAGTTCTAGCTCTCCACCTGAATAGTCCCTTTCTTTTACAAGGTCTACAGTTTTGTTGGAACTGCTTGGGAGAATAATTTCATTTGTGAGTGATTTTTTTCTCCAATAACTAACATTTCTTGAACACTTACAATATGCCAAGCAGTTATTATTTGCAATTATTCCACACAATAATTAGATACATTTGGTCCTTTTATTATCTCCAATTTAAAGATGAAGAAACAGGCCTACCACATTACCCGAACTTGGGTGTCATTCTTTCTTTCCATTAGCGAATGTACATTTTGAGCACTGTCCTCTAAACCTTAAAGACAATAAATGCCCAGTTCATTGCACTGTTAAGAGGGTCAACTAAGATACAGCAAGTGAAAGAGGCTAGTATGAAGCCAGCACAGAAGGGGCTTTTAGAGAGCTGAAGGGAAAAGTACATGAAATGTACAATGTGTATGTTCCTTGGCAATGTACTTATTCGGCTGCACCTTGGCCAGTTTGGAGGTCAGACCACAGAACTGATCAAGGATGACACCAACCTAGTTTTCTCTGGATAAACCTGGCAAAGAAAATAGTCAATATTTTTCTCATATGGCATAGCCTGATGCATCAGAATGGACTACAAAAATGAGTTAAAATGCAAATTTGAGGGATCACTTCTTTGTCCTGTCCTTGCCCCTGACCTACTGGTTGGTAAGAAATTGGCTTTTTATGCAAGCTAAAACAATTCCTACATATCCCACTTTAAGAGTAACTGTATATATGAATATGAAGTTCACCATTTATCAATGTATGTAAATATATATACACATACATAAACTCATAAGAATGCAATGATGTCTATTTATGTTTTTTTCACTAGACCCCCAGCAGAACAAGGGTCATTGAACATATATTTTTTTGTGATATATGTGGCATTAGCAATGCCACACCTATGCAGAAGCCTACAGTAGTCCTCCTTATAAATACAAAAAGTTGAGACAATCTGAACACTAGAGAATTATCTAAAAATTGAAATCTCATTAAAGAAAGCTTCAATCAGTGGTACTTTCCAATTAAAAATCACTTTTGAGTCTTCAGAAAAAAATTCATGGGGCTGAGGGTGTAGCCCAGTGGTTGAGTACCTGCTCAGCATGTACAACACCCTGGGTTCAATCCCTAGTACACTGAAAAGAAATTCATGTATCTGAGTTCCATCACAGACCAACTGTGAATTAGATTAGCTTAGGGTCAAAAGCCAAGAAATTATATGCTCAAATTTTCTTTAAGTGATTCTAATTATTTCCCTGGTTAGGAACAACTGATAAAAGCCAGGTGTGGTGGTGTGCACCTGTAATCCCAGCACCCAGGTGGCTGAGGCAGGATTTCAAGTTCAAACCAAGCCTGGGCAATTTAGCAATTTACAGAGAATCTTTCTCAAAATAAAAAATAAGGGCTTGGAATGTATCTCAGGGAAAAGTCCCTGAATTCAATTTAATTGAGAGAGAGAGAGAGAGAGAGATAACGAGAGAGAATGAGAGAGAGCGAGGAGAGAGAGAGGCAGACAGACAGAGACAGAGATATTAGTGATAACCATGTGAGTCACCAACATGAAATATATTTGTCCTGCTTCCAAGGTAGTATTTATCTGATTTTTTTTTTTTCTTTTGGTACTGGGGATCGAACTTGGGACCTTGCACTTGCAAGGCAGGTGCCGGAACCACTGAGCTAAATCCCCAGCCAATATTGATCTGATTTTTTTCAGCAAAACCAAGTTGTCAAGAGAGTAGATGGTCAATGTGGCTCATGTACTGCTACACCTTGCTTGCTAATACAATACCACAGTTTTCAAGATTTATTGCTTAATTTATGCTACAAAGAACAAAAGGAGAACAACTTTCGATACGTTCAGTAGAGTTTGCTATGTTCACAGCTGGAAATAATGTTGAAAGTACACTAGTGCAAGCACACGCACATATATGTGTGCACTCCGGTAAGTGTTAGATTTTAAGCCATCTTTTTCCATCATTTCCTCATGCTTGAACTCTCTGCTCTCCTTTTTCTATGTTTATCTTCAAAAGGTTTGATCAGCAGATCAAAGGCCTTCCCATCCAGTTGATGACGTCGGGCCTGGAGAAGTTAAATGGCTAGCGAAAGTTCACTCAGTGGAAATGGTGACTGACACCAAGGCTCATCCTGGAGGAAATCTCAACTGTTTCTCCTCTTGCCTGGACAGACTTTATGAAGAGAAACTTTGTTCTCCAACTATGTGCCAACGGGGTCATCATTTCAATTATCTTTTGACACTTGCCAGAAGCCAGGGCAATTAGATTTTAATTTAAGTGTTTATTAATAGAGATAGTGACTAATTAGAAAACATTTTAAAACATTCTCTCATCTCCAAGCCAAGTTGTTGTCTAGAACGCAGTATTTTCAGATCCCTTTATTAACATATCCATTACCATTCACTTGTATTTTGATTGACTTGCAAACAATCTTTGTTTTTTAAAAACTCTTTCAGACAAATCTTGGACAATCTCTCCCTGTTTCTCTTGAGCTCATAATGGCAGTATTATTTTCATTTGTTTAGTTAGGTTATTTACCTTATCTGACACACCCAGATGACCCAGCATTGTTTTTCATGTCTTGCGCATCTTGTTTTTAATTTGACAAAGTATCAACAGTTGGAAGCAACTACTTCCCTTCCCACAAGAGCTCCCCTAAAAAGCTGAGACACAGTGTACTTTAAACCAAGAGTGGCTAATGCACTGTGTTTTAAACATATTTTCCTGAATCCATTTTAGAATTTAAAAGCATCTTACAAATCACTACATTCAATTTTCCCCACAAGAACAGAATGTGAACTGGAGACTGGATAAAGAAGATGTGGGGTTTTTTATAAAATGGATTACTACTCAGCCATAAAGAACGAGAAACTAGAGACATTTCTAGCTAAGTGGATGCACACTGAGGCCATACTCTTAAGTGAAATAAATAGGACACACGTGTAAATACCGAATAGTTTCTCTGATGTGAAAAACAAAGTGTAAATAAGGATCAAAATGTATAATTGATACTGTGAAAGAAGAAGAAAAGGTCTACAGGAGTGGGGGAAGTGGGAGGGGTAGGGGAAAGAAAAGAAGGGAAAAGAAAAAATAGGAGAAAAGGGGAAAAAAATGGAAACAAAGTCTGTAAATGGGGAAGGGTGGAGGAGGGTGAAGGGAGGACAGGGGAATGGGGAAAAAATAAGAACCAAGATACATCATGTAAAAGTACAAGATCCCAATGATGAATGTAACTACTGTATACCTAAAATGCACCAATAAAGTTAAGGGAAAAAAAAAAGAACAGTGTGATGTGCTCAATGAATCCTGGCAAGTTCATAGCTTAAGGAAAGTGACTTCGGAAGTACTGACCCCATCTATGTCACCATCTTGGAAAATCTGTGCTAAAATAGTTCAAGGAAGTGAGAGTGACAATCGATGAATATTAATGCAGAGTTCAAACTCTGACTCCGGAAGTTGAAGTGGCACACAGTGTTAACAGTAAAAAGGAAAATAAAAATCTTCTACATTATCTCCAAACATAGAAATCATTACTATGTCCTATGTAACCACTTATTGTAATATTAATTTTGGAGATACAGAAAATACAACACATATACCATATATAATGCTATGTTAAAATCCTTAGTAACAGCATCATTGTGAGACAGGACTACACTTTGCTATGTCAGATTTTTCTCATAAAGTCATCATAAAATAGCACATGGGATTTGAGCAGTGAAGCTGAGTCAGAGGAGAAATCAAAAGTCATATGGAAATTAATTACTTAGAGGGCAGCTGAGCAATGGCCACTAACAAACCCCCGCCACAACTGGCACATGACCTCCACCTCACTGGTTCCACTGTTGGAAGAATGTGTGTCCCTCACTAGACTGTGAGCTTTGGAAGAGCAGGAACCATGCATGGCTTTGCGATTCAGCTGTTCACTGTTTGCTCCTAGCACACTGCCTGGCACACAGTAGCAATTAAACAAAGAAATGAAAGAAGGAATGATCGGCTCTCTTATGGGATTCCTGTATTTTCACACATTTATTACAGTGAGGGTGATGATCTCATCTCAAAGACAATTGGAAAATATATGTTATACTTTTAAAAGAGCCTTGCGTAATGCAAATGATGCAACAAATGTAATTAGATGATTAAAGAGTAAGGAGAGGCATAAATGTATCCACTTACTTGCAAGCAAGCCAACTCCACTTGCCAGGGACCCGACCCAGGCTGTTTTTCCTTTCCCTTCACCAAAGGCATCCAGCCACTCTATGTATAAGACTCCAACTGCTAGTGGGGACCCGTAACACAAAAACTGAGTGAAGAAGGAGACAAACACAATCACCCAGCCCCATCCGCCGTCGGGTGACTTTTTACGTTCCATCGTAAGGTGAAATCAAGGCAGTGTTTTCTACAGGCCCTAACAAAAACAGAACAGAAAAAGAAAAGCACATTAGAGTGTGGTGAGCACTGTATTTTGTATAAATAAATAAGTAAAGTTTCTAAACACATACATGGACAAAGTACCACTGACATAGCAAGGTAACTTTTAAAATTTCACTTGTTTCTATAAATCATGCAGCTACTAGTACAAAAAGATTTTTTTTCATTGTAAAAAAAAGACATAGAGTGAAATGTCTACTTCTTAACATTATCCCCCTTCACCAAGTTCCCATTCCTTCCCAACCACCAAAGAATCACTAATTTTAGTTTCTAGGGCTCCCCAGGAGGAGACCTTTGGGAAGAAGCGGATTTGGTAGGAGTGCTCTTGGGTCAGCATCTATGGTAGGGAACACTGGAAGGGAGAAGAGAAGTGCCATGCAGCTGGAAGGAAGGAGCTTCTCACAACACATAATAGCTACATTTTAGAAGCAGCCTGTATGTCCATCAACATATGAATGGGTAATGGAATGTGGTATTTATACACAATGGAGCACTACTCTGAAGGATAAATTTGAGTCATGTGTAGGAAAATGGGTATATCCTGAGACTAATGTTAAGTGAAATAAATCAGACACACAGGCTTAAATATTGCATGGTTTCTCTTACATTACAATCCCAAAGTATAAATGATTTAGACAGCAAAATAAAAGATAGATAATAAGGAGAGAAAGCAAGGGGCTTCTAATGTTCCAGAGCTGCCTGAGGGCTGCCCCTCATGCGGCCATGCTGATCCTTCACTGCATAAGGTCACCCCAGGAAGGGTGGTGAGCTTCCGGGTTCGGCATCCTCCGAAGGAAACCATCTGGCTCCAGAAGGGCGGTCAGCTGAAGGCTGTCTGCCAACAGCACTTCTAGCAGCTGGGCCAAAGCACTTTCACTCCTGCAAAAAGTGAGGGGAACTGGCAGCAGTCACAACATTCGCCAACTCGAGTGTTCTTTCAAAGTTTTCTCACACACTTACAGCAAAACCAGGAAAGTATTCTTAGATTTCCTCTTTTTTTCTACAAAAAGGGGCGTATTGTATATTATATTCTACACTTAGCATCCTTGGAGATTTTCCCCTATCAATACACAGAAAACATCCTTAGTCTTTTTTTCTTTTAACAGTACATGGCATCTCACCATATGGTTATATGTTTTGTTTTGTTTTGTTTTAAATTAATTTTGTTGGTACATTTTAGGTATACAGTATAATGACATTCATCACTGGAAATTTGCACCTTTACATAATCTCCCTTGGTTCTTATTTTTTCCTCCTTCCCCTGCCCTCCCTTCAACCCCTCCATCCCTCCCTATTTACAAAGACTTTGCTTCTGTTTTTTCTTTTTCTTATACTTCTTTCCTTTCTTTTCTTTCCTCTACCCCCCCATTCCCCTTACCATTTGGACCTTTTCTTTCTATTTCACATTATTTATTATACATTTGGATCCTTATTTACACTTTCAGTTTCTCACACTAGGGAAACTATTCGGTATTTACACGTGTGCTATTTATTTCACTTAAGAGTATTGGCTCAATGTGCATCTGTTTAGCTTTAAATGTCTCTAATTTCTCATTTTTTATGGCTGAGTAGTACTCCATTTTATTAAAAAAACACATTTTCTTTATCCAGTCTCCAGTTGATGGGCACTTGGGCTGCTTCCAAGTTTTAGCTATTACAAACTGTGCTGCTATGAACATAGATGCACATATATCACTGTGGTATGATCCTTTTAATTCTTTGGGGAAGATCCCCAGCAGGGGAATAGCTGGGTGAAATGGGACTTCCAGCCCTAGTTCTCTGAGGTATCTCCATACTGATTTCCACAGTGGTCACACCAGTTTGCACTCCCACCAACAATGGGGAAGGGTTCCTTTCTCCTCACAACTGCACCAGCATTTGTTATTGGTTGATTTCTTGATAGCAGCCATTCTTACTGGGGTGAGGTGGAATCTCAGCATTGTTTTCATTTGCATCTCTCAAATGACCAGTGATGTTGAACATTTTTTCATATGCTTATTTGCTATTTCTACTTCTTTGTCTGAGAAATGTCTGCTCATTTCAGATGCCCATTTTTGGACTAGGTCTTTAAATTTGGGAGGTCTGATTTTTTTAAAGTTCTTTATAGATTCTAGATAGTAGACCTTTGAGGAACAGCAGGTGAATATTTTTTCCCACATTGTATGTTGTCTCTTCACACTGCTGGTGGTTTCTCTTGCTGTGCAGAAGTTTTTTTAATAAGAAGAGATCCCACTTGTTGATTGTGTTAGTTCACAGGCAACTGAGGTTTTGTTCATAAAATCTTTTCCTACACCAATATCTTCAAGAGTTCTACCTAACCTCTGTTCCAGCAGGTTCAGCGTTTCTATTTTAATATTTAGATCTTTAATACATTTCAATTTTAGTTTAGTGCATGGTGAGAGATATAGGTCTAGTCTTAATCTTTGGCAAGTTGAAACCCAATTTTTCCAGCACCATTTATTAAAGAGGCTATCTTTCCTCCAGTGAGGGTGTTTGGCTCCTTTGTTGAAGATGAGGTGGCTGCGTGTGTCTGGAGTTGTTTCTGCATCTTCTAATCTGTTCCACTGGTCCTCGGGTCTGTTTCTTTGCCAGTACCATGCTGGTTTTTTTTTAATCACAGTAGCTTTGTAGTATAGTTTCAAATTAGAGTTCGTGATACCCCCTGCCATGTCTGTACAATTAAATGACAATGATAATACAACATACCGGAATCTAAGGGACACAATGAAAGGAGTCTTACGCGGGAAATTCATTGCAGTGAATACTCATATTAGGAAAACAGAGTAAGCCCAATTAAACAACCTGATGCTGAACTTCAAGCTTCTAGAAAAAGAAGAGCAGGACAACCTCAAAGCTCATACAAGGGAGGAAATTATAAAGATCAGAGCAGAAATCAATGTAATGGAGACTAAGAGAACAATACAAAAAATCAATGAAGCCAAGAATTGGTTCTTTGAAAGAATAAACAAAATTGACAAACCCTTAGCCAACTTTATCAGAAAAAGGAAAGGTCCAAATCCATGCAATTAGGAATGAAAAGGATGAAACTACAAGAGACTCAGCAGAAATCCAGAGGATCATCAATACCTACTTCGAGAACCTATATGCCAATAAGATGGAAAACACAGAAGAAATGGATAGATTCTTAGATACATGTGAATTACTAAAGTTGAATGAAGAAGACCTAAAAATTCTAAACAACCCAATATCAATCAATGAAATTGAAAATGTGGTTATATGCTTTGTTGATTGATCTATTTATTGAGTAGGCTAACCATTTGCCTGGTTCAAAAATGAAAATGGGGGGTAAGAATGTAGCTCAGTGGTAGAGCACTTGCCTAGAATATATAAGACCCTAGGTTCAGTTTCCGTACCACAAAAGAGCGGCAGACATATGGTCCACTGTCTACCCATTTCCCACCTAATCTTCATCTCCTCCACAGGTAACAAAACTTCTTGTTTTTTTTAAATGTATCTTTCTACAGTCTCTTTGTAAATACACAAGCAAACACTATAGATTTCCTCTATTTTCCACATAAAAATATGGCATATTATACCCATTGATATCTGCCTTGCTTTTTTCATGTGGCAAATATCTTGAAGCTCTTTCACATCAACACAAACTATCTTCCTTGTTCTTTTCTTACTGTTCCATTGAATTCCAGTATAGAGCTTTCTCTTAACTTGTTTAACCAGTTGCCTTTGGCTGGTAATGAAAACCAAAGCTGCTATGAAGAACCTTACATAGATATGTTTTGCTTATGTGCATATCTATTAAGCAAAATCCAAAAGAGGAATTGCTGAGTCAAAGGGAGTGTACTTTTGTAATTGGTATTTATATTACCTAGCTGTTTTCAAAGAGATCAAATCAACTTATCCCCAGCAATTGTGAAAGTGTTGTGAAACTTTTGGATTTATTTTTATTTATTTATTTATTTTGCAGTGGTGGGAATTGAACTCAGGACCTTGCGCTTGAGAGGCAGGCATGATGCCACTGAGGTAAATCCCTGGCCCAGCTTTTGGATTTTTTGACAATTTGTTGACTTTAAAACAGTTTTTCAAGCTAGGCATGGTGGTCCACACCTGTAATCCCAGCACTCTGGCAGGCCGAGGCAGGAAGATTGCAAGTTTATGTTATTTCATGAGTAAAAAGCCTTTGAAATTCCCAATTCTTGGGTATATCTGAGTGTATTTCTAGATTTTCTGTTCTACTCCTTTGGTCTGTTTAACCATTACTACATTAGTTTCATTACTAAGTCTTTTTATAAAAGTTTAAAAAATGTATTTCAATCTCAAGTGGAGCTAATTTCTCTCACTCCCCATCACAGTAATTCTTTTCAGTATTTTTCTAGCTAATCTTGTTTACTATTTTGCATAAGCTTCAGAATTGACTTGTTTGGTTCAAAAAGGGCTCTGATAGTGTTTTCACTAGGACCTGGTTAAATTTAAAAACAGACTTAAGAGCCACATGTGGTGACACATGAGTGCAATCCTAGCTACTCAGGAGGCCGAGACAGGAGGCTCACTGGAATGCTAAGCAACATCTCCAGCCCTTTTTATTTTTTTGAGTTTGAGACAGCATCATGTTAAGTTGCCCAGGCTGGCCTCAAACTTGGGCTATTCCTGCTTAGCCTCCCAAGCAGCTGGGATTACAGGTATGCGCCGCCACACCTAGCTATGCTGAATCTTTGTAGGAATATGGTGTGTTTTACATTTGTGCAAGTCTCTCCTTGTGCTCTTTGTATTTAAATTTTTCCTTAACATTTCCGTTTACTGCCTCTCCATGTATTTTAACATTTTTATTAATCTGTGTGTGTGTGTGTGTGTGCACATGCATGTGTGTGGTACTGGGGAATGAACCTAGGTATTTCACACTGAGCTAAATCCCCAGCAGTTTTGATTTTTTTTTTTAATTTTCTGTTTTGGAACAGTCTTGCTAAGTTGCTCAGGCTGCACTCACACTTATGATCCCCCTGC